TCTCTCTCTCGAAGTTATTTTACAAATATAACAATAAAAAAGTTTTCGTATATTTTAAGCGTGACTTTCTTTACGAGAAAACTATTTTTCATTCAATGATTTCCATTAATGAGGTCTCAAATCATTCATTCATTGTTAAAGTCATTTGATTTCCTTATATTTATTCACAATTTAAAAAAAATATAAACAACAAAAATGTTAAATTCTTATGTGATTTGATTTGGTATTTGACAAATATTTTCCGGATATTTATCTATTTGTTAATTATATTCATAATATATGCATAATATTAAAAATTTAGCATCATTGTTACTTTAAAGTCAATTTATAACAGCTCTTCATAACCTTGATATTTAATTGAGTTGAACAAATCAACACAATTTTTAATTGTCTGTAATATTGATATTAACGATAATTTTATGCCAAATAACTGTTTGCTTAACAGTTAAACCACACAAATATAGAGAATTTAATTGAATAATTTTTTACTTATTTGCCAACGAGTTATCAATTATTTGATTTCTATAACAAAATCCTTGAGATTTAATATTTAATACAAAATTCATGACATCTATTAAATTATGTTGAAAAACAAAATCTCTCTCTCTCTCTCTCTCTCTCTCTCTCTCTCTCAACACAAGCTATTGTGTGATTATTTAATAATAATAACCCAACAGTTAAACGCAATTTAAAAATACATTTCCATAAAAATTAATAAAAATATTAATCAATTTTGATCTTAAACTTGAAATTTTAGGCGAAGAGGAGGAGGACATGGAGGACAGAGGGTCTGATTTTTTACTCTACTGTTTGATACACTCGATATACCAGTTTTTGAGACATTAGTTATTAAGATAAGTATTTTATAAACTATAACACATCGTCTATCCATCAAAGAAGATCTGTTTATACATCAAAATATGGACTTATTTTTATATAAATAAGACTTTTTATTGGTAGTGACTGAATATATACATGGCTAGGAATTTCACTATGATTACTTTTTACTATATATAGACATAGATTATATACACAGTGTATATATTCAGTAAAGGATATGCTTTACTAATCAATTAAATTTATTCATACAAAGCGGAGATTATGGCGAAGAATAAACACTATTATAAGACAACATTAATTACACAAACAATTCTTCACTGTTTTAGCATTTGTTGCAAACATTTTTTTCATACGCTATGAAAATGCATTGGAAATGAATTTCTCGCCCAAAACCATCCCTTCGTATTCACTGCAATCCTACGCATACAAAGCCATAGTATTATATAAAGGAGTTGACGAGAGAGAGAGAGAGAGATTAGTCTTGAAAAAAGACGACGAATTGTTTGAATATTAATGAATGGTAAGTTAAGGAATACATTTATCTTATAAAACACACACATCATTCATATAGTGTTCAAAATACAGTGTACTTTATATTTAAAAATATATATCAAAACTATTGGTCTCCAATCACAGCCGGGAATATAACCTCTAAAACCCACGCGTTTTTATAACTTATTTTTGAGCCCGAAGTTCACGTAAAAAACCTTTTTATTATATATTTAATGTACAAACATATCACTTCTCTCTTCTTCTTATTCTTCAGTTGTGTTTTGATCGCAATTTAATGGCAAATAAAACATAAAAATTAAAACAAAAACAAGAATCAAACTTCAGTTTCTCAATAATAGGTGTAATTTATAATTTCATTTCAGTATTATATCTGTGTATGTGTTGTGGTGTTTGTGCGTGAAATCCATTGTCTCCACCAAATAAAAAGTACAATAATTTTTCAATACTTATAGCGATTTAATTGAGAAATAATATTATTGCTAATAATAGTAATCATTAGAAATGATGTCTTCGTCTTCGCCCGTAATAACAGTCACTCGTCATTACAATACGAGAAACAAATTAAATATTTTCGATGAATACGATATCAATAGTGGTTTCATAACCAGTCGATTGGGTTTATTGAAGTTTTTAATTCTGGTATGACTTATATGTTTATGTTTTGCATAATTTGCAGCAGATTTTTGTTTTAATATTATTTATTAATAACAATAAATTTACTGACACTAAAGGAGTATCAAAATGATTTAACTAATATAATAAAATCTAATCAAGATCTAACAATTTACTTGTTAGCTATCATATGGAGTAAAATAACCATTAACAAAATGCTAATTAACAAATATATTACCCTAAAATCTTGTGCATTACCCGCACTCATGTATAACCCGCACTTAAATTAAATTCACTTAAATTAAAGAAATAACTAGTTAAACCTACCCTGACCTAGTCTAAACTAACTCATTAACTTAATAAATAATATTATTAACAATTTTAAGTAATTATTAAATTAAAATAATTGTTTTTGAACAAAATTCTTTCAAAAAAGTAACCCGCCCATGAAGAATTTTCCAAAAATATCACTTTTTTTCCTTGTATAACCCGCGGGTAATGCACAAGATTTTAGGGTACATTTTAACGTGTTATTAATATTTATGTTATATGAAAATTATTCAAATTAATGTATTATAATAAACGTTAATGATTTGATAAATGTTAAATAAAATAAAATTGTATATTAAATACTAATATATAGTTTGTGTCTCAATTGGCAGCTATTTTCGCTGATATGTCTGATCCTAGTGTTGGCCGAAACTCAAACGGCCGCCTGTGCTAAGAGTGATCGACGACTGTCGGATCAGGTGACCTGTTATAAGATATACACGGGTGACCTATTCCTCCTGCTCGTTAACTTTTGCCATTTGTATGTCATTGTCTTAATGGCCGTCACATCCATCTTCTCCATAACCAGCGAATCATTGCTCCCGAAGACTACTTTTGTAAGTTTTAATAATTTTTAACGCCTTATGGTTTGAAATTCTTGTTTTGCCAAATTATTACACTTTTATAAAAAGAAATTTTAATTAAAAACTATATTTACTGATAAATAGTTCCGAAAATCATTAATAACAGCAAATATTTATTTATTTTACACTTTTAACATTTATTTTTGTTTAATTTTTAACATTATATTAAGAATCAGATCAAATGTTACATTTATATTGGTATTAAGTTTTTCAATAATTTAATTCATAAATCGTTTAGTCGTTTTCATTAACAATGAATAAATAAATAGACAAATAGTGTGATAGGAATCTGGATTTTTAGCGACATTTAAGTAAAAATGTTAATTTAATGTATATTTTAATCATAATGTGTTGCCAACACTCAGGACTACGTGTTTCATCACATGGCGTTTGGTCTGTATCTGATTGGAGGCATTTGGGTATTGATTGACTCGTTATCTGATGGCAGAACCGGTGTCATCATAACCGGATCGGTCTGTACACCAATTTATAGCACATTTAATTTGCATTTTTAATAATTTGAAACCCATATAATTATTTGTTAAAAGTTTGTAAAAAGTTTGTAACTAAAAATGTCTATTTTTTTAAATCAACAGTTGTTTGCATTGTTGTGTTCGGCCGGACATCTCTTTCACGGCATGTATTCCTATGCAAAAAGTTTGGACGTCTGAACACTTTTTATCATATATTTTGTTCAATTTGACAACAATTCTCGCAAACACCTGATGGAAGTATTTACGAAAGTGTCCAAATTATACACAATTGAGGCGATTGCTGCTAGAAAATGATGAGCGAGTCTAAGCATATACTGTAACCTATTGCAGTAGACTCGCTCATCATTTTCTAGCAGCAATCGCCTCAATTACAAGTTTTGATCAAATTTTACAATAATATGTTTACAAATAGATAGTTCAAAAATATACAATTTTTTCAGAAATTTTTTATTTGCCTTTATTTATTAAAATTAAATTTTATTAATCATAGATATTATAAACTTGCATTTATGTTTTAAAACAAAAGCACATTTTATATACGTAAATATACGTAAATTTTATTTTATATAATTTACTGTACATGTGATTTAATATCATATTGGTTGAGATGTATGAATACAAATTCTGGCGTTGCCCTCAGTTTTATTTTTATTATTGAAGTTTTAACAAATAAATGCACACCTTTTTGTGACTCCCAGAACCTTTTGTAGTATATTATTATTATTATAAAAACGGTTTAAATTAAATACTAAATGTGATGTTTGAAGTGTTTCTCAAACACATTAAAAGTAACTAAAATAAATAAATGAATGCTTTATAAATGTCTTTTATATAACAATCGTTCAATTAATGGAAATACACTTTAATTCATCACACTATTTACGTATCAATCAAAAACTATAATGAAATACAGAGAGAAAAAATATATTAAGTTTGAGCCGTCAATGAATAAAAATCTACAACACATGCAAACCAGTAGTCAATTAGGCTTTCGCTTCTTCACGAAACATAAAACTGCATTTAATTATGTTTTTCAATAACTTTTAGCAAATTATTTTGATTGATGTGTTTTAGTGTTAGAGAGACATAAAAATGATCGCATATTTTACATGTATTCGGTATATACCGAAAAAACGTAAAACATATTACTCAGTACTGAGACGGACACTGTTTTTGTTGCGATTTCTGGGCGCACCCACCGGTCTCTGGCACCTGAAGAGCCCTCACTCGACGGCCAGAAGTCGACTGTCATTAATTGGCGCCTGTATTATGTTATTTGCGTCCAACTTGGGTGCGGTGGGCGACGCCTATCTTACCATCAAAGATATCTTCTATATGGGTCAGAACAGAACTTTCATCGAGAATTCAACCATGGTCTTTCTACTGTTGCTCAACATCACGGGCGCAGTGGGTCTGGACATACTCTGGTGGCGGCGAAAGCAGTTGATCCACTTGTTAGACCTCATCGATTGGGAGACCAGAGAGTGCGGAGATGGCGGACAGGGTTTGGCCACTGAATGCAAGTTTGATTGCAAACACTTGCGGCGAAATATGATCCAATTGTTTGCGTTTAACATGATTTTTTCGGTGTTTGTCAGCTATTTGTTTATCACATCATCCGAACGACCAGACTATCCGACCCGACATTCATATATTCATGACCTGGCATTAGCTCTTTATGGGATCCGTTTCTTCACTATAGCGGCCTTTACCCTCATCTTTGAGCTTTTGGTGACGTTTTCGTGGATTTTTCGCCTTAAAGTCTATAAAGAGTTGAGACGAGTGAAGAAGAATCTGTTAACGGAGGCGAAGAGCGGCCAAAATCCCGATCCGTCCGAAGCCAAGCGTATGGAGCGCTGGTTCACTACATTTATTGTTGAGTTTAAGTTATTTGATCTCATATTTAAGCAAATCTCCGGTTTTATCTATGGATTAATGGTTTGGTCCACACTATCGCTGTCCGAAGAGTTGATAACAACTATTATAACACATAAAGTGGAGAAAAATGAGTTGAGTCACGCCATCAACGAGTTGTTCACTCTATTAGTTTTGATTGTCTTTCTTCACTCCCTGTCCGGTGTTGAGCACATCCAAAGACAATTGGTTAAGCATTTGTATCACTTGTCATTAGCCGTTAAATTGAATTTAGATTTCGATAACAATACATCCAATGATAAGTTGAACCAAAAAGT